ATCCTGATTTCTACCGCTGGATGATAAACCTTATCTGGGCCGAAGTACATATGCTGTGGATGAGAGAATCGGTGATAACCCCAAACAGAAGGGCTGAAATTGGCGTCTATTTTTTGGCAGCTATCACCGTGGCGTACTGTGTTACCAACTGAAGGGACACTAGCTGCAAACTATCTGGAAGTTTCGTTGCAGGGTTTTCCTACGTACCTGTATAAAGTTGTTGATAATCTTAACTCGCGATACCTCTTCCACATCTCTGCTAGCTGGACAGAGCCTGAATAGATATGACTGGGCAGTTCCGAAGTGAGAACAACGTGGCAAGAAGGAACAGACGCAAAGTCCTTCCCACATGCACCTGTGTTAAATCTCGTCTTCCCTTACACTAAACTACTTTTAGGACAGTGTTCCTCTGTCCATATATAGACACACACGATGGTTAGTGCGATTCCATATTTCTGATTGTATTCCCCAAACAGGACGAAACTCCAGATCCAGTTAAATTGCTAAAGGAGATCAGTGACGTTGCAGTCAAGTATGTTCTCAGTTGTGTAGAAGTTTGATGACTAGCAGGACCGGCTAGTGGGTGTTTCCTTGCAGCACCGACTACGTTGTGGTGGCTAATGCGGGAAGCCGACTACCCTCAAGAGAGACGAGGGGCTGTTAAATACATTGGCAGTTTGTTTAATGAACGGTTTTGGTAAGGAGCCACTTTGACTTGGCCATTGTACCTCGTCGGATGGACTGGCATTGGGGCCATGCCAGTGGCTTATATACCTTCTGTATGCCGAATAGCTGAAGGAATTTTAGCATGACCCCCAGGCCAATGCCACAGCGGAACCATATCTCCCAGGTTGGTAATCACACAGTTGAGGAGAACAGCAAATCACCACCGATATTTAAGGAAAAGCCAACCTGGGGGCCTTAGATATCTATGAAATGGTAAAGCTGTTATAGGATCTGCCCATATATCCTGAACAAAATTACTTAATCCTGAAAAAATTGGAGTAAATTTGCGTCAATGGCCTAGCATTGGGTGCCACTATCAGTAAAAGTAGCAACAAGCTGAATAAGCACCGAAAATTATAAAAAGGACTGAATTGCATCGATCCATTTCATCCGCTCACGTATCATGAAAGACCGGGGTGGCAGTTTTTGTCCACTTTTATCCAAAATCAAAACCTTTAGCCTAAAATAAAGTTTACCTTGCATTATTCCATTAGGTACCGCTACACTATTGTTGTAAACATGTGCATGCACATACTACTTAAATGCAAACTAAAATATACAAATTTGCTGCAAAAATTATCCAAAATTGAAAGTAAAATCAAATTTTACTCCAAAATAATGTTTTATTTTTGTCGTAAAACTTGCCGAATAACCAAAGAATATTTAGACTTTAATGCAAATAAAATATTACGCACTATAGCAAGTTTGATCTAGTTAACGCTTTAGATTTAAGGGGCGAGGTGGGCGAACGTGTGAATGACCTTCATGGTTCATTCGAATGATGACTGGTTTGTCGCGTGCCATGCGCGAAAGGTGTACCTCACAGCCTGAACCGTCTGAAACGCGTTTCGCATTTTTCGCAAGGAAGGCATTTGTATGCGGTGCCTAGTGCGGTTGGAGCTGCGCTTTTTGGGTTCTGCTGAGTACATTTTTCGAGGGAACACCTCGAGGCGCAGGCGCAGTTAATTCAGCAGGCGAGCCATCAAACGAGTGTGCACTACTTTTTGTGGGAGGGGCTTTCCTCCGAAATTGAAATTCGTTCAGCAAGGCCTGCGAGAGATGGGCGAGCCTGGGTACCTCCCATCTCGCCCCTACTCCATCAAATTGTTCCTTTACTTCAAGCGTACATTTGTCTGGACAGAACCTGATCCGAGTAAACCTTCTCACCCCTCAGTTGAGCTAGGATCAGTTATCTTTGAGCCCGCTATATGGCGATTGGGCGAGTGAAGGCCGGCATCATAGCTGACGTGAGCA